GCCATCCAGGTGTGACATCACAGTCAGCCATCCAGGTGTGACATCATGGCCAGTCATCCACGTGGGACATCACGTAACCAAGACAACATCTACGCGAATCGATACCAAACTGCACGGTTTCCAGCTCGGACTATTGTTGGGTTGAGATCATTCAGTTATGGAGCCGTATGCATGTGGTTGAGGGAGCACAGCAGCCGTCTCCGTCGTCAAGCGTTGCGCCAGATTAAGCTTCCAAGCTTCAGGCATGCCAAGCTTAGTATAGGTTCCCAAATACAATACTGGAAAAGTATAGTGCTCACATATTTGTTAAGCTTGCGTTACTAAACGCCGTCAGTTTCTATGTCTCTGTCTGTCTAATGGTATGAAATCACGCGAGATGAATGAAATCAAAACTGGCAGGAAAACACAAATATCTTTGCGTTGTAGTTCTTGATTATTTCGTTTTGTGTTCGGGTGTCAGTTTCTATTTAATCCACTCTTCCAGATAATATACAGTGGAAGTATAGGAGATTGTATGGACTATCATTGTCAACGCAATTGTTGACTTATTAGTTGAGTGAATTCATATACACTCCAACTACATAGTGCAAGAAACTGCGACTGCGATTGTCATGAAAGACAATCATGACCTTTTTAACGATAAATTCTATCGAACATTGGCGACAGACTTGCTTATCATTTATTCATTTCATAAAAATATTTTAAAGTTTTTGACAGATTGATTCTTGATCTGCCTCAGAAACAAATTCCGTTTGGTGTAAAGGGAAATATAGCTGTTACAATTACATGAAAGGAACACTGAAAATCAGTGATGACACCAGGTGTTCACCATGACAATGAGCAGCAGAATATCCGATTTAACGTCTCCACAATTATGCCCGTATCTCAAAGCTCAAAGCGGGTCTAATGGAGCGTTGGCTCGTCACGAAACCCGTGTTCGAATCCCCATGGGACGTGCCCACGGAATCTGGGAGCGGCGAGCATGTATCTGTCGTAACATTTGGCAACGGAGTCGTAACATTTGGCAACAGTGAAAGGGTTTTTAGTCACAGACCTCGAAGATTGTGCAGTTCAACGTTAAACAACAAACAAAATACAATTCCCTATAGACCACAGCATTAGAGAATCTTAAATACACAACCGTGCCTATTAACGCGACGATTAGTCCCAGTTCTGACATTATAGACGAGTCGTACACCAGTGGCCTCATGAAAGTTGGCAGAAATCTGCTTCATCTTTTCATCTGGGTTTCGTAGAGCTTGGTTTCGCATCAATAGATCCTGTACTGTCGATCAAGGATGCTACCAACGAGGTCGATCGTCAGCATTTTTGGTTATTAATAGAATGTGAACGTTGACGTTGTTGTAACTGCACGGCCACTTCTACCAATTCTCAACATATAAGAGCCAGTAGACGATGCTGGCGCCGCAACGCTAGTTCTCATACACATAATGAATGAAGTCGAGAAAATGACAACTGTATGATAAACAGAATCAGTAAGACTGACATGACTAACAATTCAATACTGTACCTTCCCTGAATGTGGAAATGACGAATGACACTCCACACATGTGTTTGACGCTACTGTGCTCGGTGTCTGCCAACTATGGGGTGTGATTTGGTTACCTTTTACAGACATTTTTAAAGATTACACATTCGTCTGTTATCACAGGTTGCGGCCAAACACAGTCAGCAGTGTGTGAATTGATCTCTGGTCAGATATTTTACGAAAGCTGCAGTAAATTTCATTATCTGGTTTGAACCTGGTCGAGAGAAGTTGATTGAAAGGCGTTCAGTGTCGCCCACATTAACAGAAGTTTGGGCTGTCCCTTCCACCTTTTGGTTGATCAATATTCCAGCAGCTCCAAACTGGCCTACCTTTTACAATGTTTGAGATTATAGTCGAGCATGTTCCTTCTACCAAGATTATAACGAGTACCATACGGCTCTTGCTCAGAAACACGTCCCTACTTTCACTTGAGCACAAGTTCTCATGTCGGGTCAAGGTGACCAACTCATGTCCACGTGTTTGTGACTGGTGCTACCGGTACGGCAAGATAAGCTAATATTTTCGAGTGAAGTAACATTTTACATCGCATTGGCAATATTGCGATAAAATGTTCGAAAATACCCGCTGTCATTATTATGTGATGGTGATTCACAAACACATGCCCATGTGGTTGCTGTAGACATTTCTGATGAATATGGAAAGGTTTATGGTCCCTCTTATTTATTCGCTTACGCATTCATCACTAAAACCATGTGCATACAAACCTTCATAGATTTTGATGCGAGGTGCACAGAGATATTTTCGGAAGTGGATTAATATCATTTTATACGGTTTTTAAATAATCAATGTGCTCATGCATATTTTTAATATTTCAAGAAAGATATATTAAATGGTTTGTCAGAGCTATTGTATTTGCAAAATTTAAGAAAAATGGAAATGATGTTAATGCATTTCCGTTCATAAAGTTTGCTCTTTTCTGATGCTGATTATAGATCTTCTAAACACCCGAAGCGTGGTTTTATTCTTCAATGCTACCTACACATGATGCACGACAAATTTACACAGAAACTGTTGATGATCGGGAACAACAGAATACGTTATCTTTCCGATATATTGATTCGTTCAAAGTTTGAAGAATGATCATTCATTTTTGAAAAATGATCTGTTAAATGGCAACTTTAACAATGTCCTGGACAGTTTATCGATTTTCGTGATGTTTCCCTATCGTTTCTGTTTACTGGGTGAATTGATAACATTGACGCAATTTTATTGTCTTTGTCTTCTATATACGACGATATCACTAACCAAACTGTGTGGAAACAGAAATATGGGCCCACTTAATTTTATCTCTGTAGATAATGACCTTTTGTGTTTCATGTTTTCGATTTAAGTAATCCCTTATCGTCAGTGATAAACCCCCCAATTGTATGATAATTCTGTTTCATCTAATCTTTCCAGTTGAAGGCGGGTATTTCCATAAAAAGAATAGACTCATGAATATTAATGACTCCGCGACCAAGCTTCGCGGCGCAAGTACCCGTGTCGTTTGCTGTTGTTTTAGTAACTATTTCATGTATTTTGTCTGAGTATTTATTTCGTCAAATATCTTTGATTTCTTGTTTCAAATGTTGTTTAGGTGCGAACGTGGGCTCACATTCAAAGTCCGATTGATTGATTGGTTGATTGATTGATAGGTGTTCGGGCAACTAGACCCATTTACACCTTGCCCATCATAAAGGTTGGCTAAGTTTCCAAACTTGTTCGACTTCATGCATGTCAAGGTGTTAATCAGCACCGTCTTTCCTGCAATCACACCAGAGGCATGGGAAGGGCTGGGACGGGTAGGAAAAAGTGGAATCCTGCAATCACACCAGAGGCATGGGAAGGGCTGAAACTCACGTCCTTGAAATAGAACGTCAGTGCCACCAACGTAGATAGGTTTGTTGCACCAGCTGTAATACCGTTGGTTGATAGTTCAGATGCAGATACGCAATCAGCAGATGCTGTCTCAAGGTTATTCAAGGACTCATCTGCAAAACAACACACACTCCTTGATTCTAATGCCTTAACCTTCCATTACTCACCCATTTGACACAAACCAGTCTTTCAACCTGCCATACAGTAACGATCAGTACCAGTTTGTTTCTGCAGAAAACAGTCCCTGGGTCAACGCAGACTGAGGTGTTTAATCTGTGTGCAATGTTTCGGGTGTGTTACGGGTTTAGTTCCTTTTTTCTAGCAATCATAATTTAAAGCAAATCTTTCTTCTGGTGAGCGATCGTAAGAATTGTATTTCATTATCCTCTACCGTTTTAGACAGTATGTAATAGTCAACTACAACAAATGTGACGAGTCAAAGCATGACCTTTTTGATACATGTATTCATTCTGTGAACTTAGTTTCATTTTCAGGCATCAATACCGATTATCTTTGATGTCAGTTATGGTGAGTTGGTGGGACTGCCAGTCAGTTCACACACGATTTCGCGGAAAGTAATGTATGAAAAGATAAACAAAAGACTGGACATAAAATGAACACTTCCACTTGCCTGAGAGTGTCATAGCAAGATTAAACTGCGTACTTCATTACGGATTTGTGGAGAGGGTCCTCGTGTATCGACGGTGTAATCGCCTTCAACAGTATTCCAGTTGTATTCCGGCGTGATTTCAGAGCCTATCTCCAAAAATAAATGCATCAATTCCCTATATAAAAGGCATTCCAGACTCAGAGTTCAGAGTTCAAGGAATATAAAAAGAATACCCCCAAAAGCCTATCGACTTGGTCTGCTGTACCAGGACTCAAGTACCCGAAGTAAGGGTCCTCACCTCTGGTGATCCAGTGGGCTGAAGACAAGGAGTACTGTGAAGGTACTCCCTTTATAGGGCTAGAATATGCTCGATTGTACCTCAAAGGTTGTGAAATGTAAACACCAAAGGCTGGTGCTGTTGGAATATTGCTCGGCCTGAAAGGAAAACTGTCTTTTGGAAAGTTAAAATAATCCCTTTTGTCATACAGTCATGTGAAGAGATTTGTTGTCACTCTCAATCTTTATGCACAGATCCAAATACAATACAGTTGAGGCGGTCTCAGTTGTCTCTTTTATTTCAAGCTCAGTTGGGTTGAGTTCAGTTGAGTTGGGCTTTACGTCACATCGGCATTATTCCAGCCATATAGTGACGAGATCAACTCTGCATTCATAAACATTTTAAGTACAAAATCCAAATGTGTTTTATTTTAAAAGCATATATTCATATCATTATTATTTAAAAACAGAAAATGTCATAACACCAAATTCAAAAGCAAGCAGTTCGTCATTCACATTACATAACTACAATTTATGATACAGGTCAACTTCCCTCAGGTTGTTAGGAATGAGATGCCTACTCACGCGGGAAAACAGATCTTTCAGATTTGTCACTTCGTAATGTGAATCCCTTGCATTTAAAAAGTCCGCACAGTCAAGCAGAATATGCTTGATGGTGAACGCTTCATCACGAGAGATACACATAGGAGGTCCATCACCATCCGTTTTCAGCAGATAGTCATGAGTTCAATTGTGTAAATCAGTGGAAGGAAGCTAGCTGCTTGATGGTAACTGAACGATGGGCATCAAATTTCCTTGTTTGGGCCAAATTTCCTTGTTTGGATTTTGCCAACCCGAACAGAAATCCCGATTCATATATATAAGCAAAAAGATCCGCTAAGAGGGGTACAATTTGTGCCAATGGAGATGCCTACTTCTTGTCTACAATTTCACAAAGATGTTGTCAATGAGGAATACTATCCAAATCCTCACAAGAAATGAAATGTCTATATCTAATAAGTCTTTGAACTTATACACTGAAGTACACAAATCAAATATCTATATTTCAAATCAACAAAACCTTTTCAATGTTGACGTTAAATACTTTGATATCATCCACGCTATCTCTCGGGAGACGATGTTGATAGATAAACAAGGTCGCACCATTGACCTTGCACTGAAACATAAAATGGAAGAGTTGATACATTTCAGCTACAAGAGGATAGGTGTATGGTTGTGGTTGCAGAGTGGCAATTTGGCAAGAGGGCGGACTGCAAATCACGTAGGATTATGCAGGGAAATATCTATAAGACTCCTCATACATGCATACAGATAATTAGCCAAACAATTGTTTGTTTGGTTGATTCTAGCTTAACGCCAAACAGTCCTTATTCAAGTGTTATGCTTTCGACCTGTAACACGCTTTGATACGTTGCTGCCTATGCTTCATGCATGAAAGCACAAATTGCAAACTAACAAACAAACATAAGACTGATCATGAAATATTGCAGATGTGACGTAATTTTCGATTTGTGATTTGACCTTGATTTGCTGTACAGAGACTATTCCACTTCCCCCTACTTGTCTAAAGTCAAGTATTGATTGGGTGTGGTTGGTTTAAGGTCAATTTAAATAGCAAGATAGTTTGATATGGGAGGCACTCCATGAGTGGATTGTGTTATGCAACCTGATTGTTCACCAGAGTGTCCTCAGTCGTCACAGACTTAGCCTGACATTAAAACGTGAAACAGGGTACTACTTCATCTATAACTTCGTTGTCTGTAGGTCGTCATTTCCACAGGGCAAAACATCCCGAAAATGTCCACTAGATAATGAAACGTAGTGTTTCCTGATGACACTATGACAAGTAAAACACGCATCTGTTTAGGTTTGCTGGAAAGAAGCGCAAAATAGAAATCCAGGATTATATTTCTGAATAGGTGCAAATAGAGACATGGTCCATTCCAAATCCAGATTTGGATATTATTCCAGACACATACCAGGTATTCTGTAGCAGTTGAAATTATGTCCATCGTAAACTTCTTCGTCATTTCAAACGGGAAAGGGGAAACCAAGTTAGTTTCAAGTCCCTGATAGACTGAGTTTTCACGAAAGCTTCTCAGGACACTCTGCTGGTCGATTATTACAGTGAGCCTCAGTAGGTAGTCGTCACTTGCAGTGATGAAATAAACGCGAAACCTTCGTCGTGAAACAAAAAACCCAGTTCATTACACAAATATAAAGTATCTGGTGCAGAGAATAGTCAGTTACGATTATCTCCCTTAAAGGCACTATCGTGGCGAAAAGTATATATGTCTCTGAAAATACATTCGGCGAGTGAATATGGTTTAACACCGCTTTAAGAAATATGCCAGCAATCCGACAGCGGGCGATACCAGAAATAGGCTTCATGTCAGGAATCAAAGACGTCGCTTGAAATTTATTGGCGATACACCCGTGTGATATATACATTAACTTATTTATAGTGTCTCGACAGATGTCATATTCCAGGACATAAACATTGTAATGAAGGTCATGTTGTAATGTCAGGTGTACGTCAGATCTTGAGTTATTACGATCAGTCATTCCCATCATATCCTTCTTAAATGTGTCAGTATGTTATTTAACGCCACACCCAGCATGTTCCTGCTATATGACGGCGGTCTGTAAATAATCGTGTTTGAACCAGACAATCCCAGATAGCATTCGGACGTTGGCCCAACGTTGGCAAAACCATTGCCAACGTTGGGCCAACGTCTGAATGCTATCTGGGATCTAGTGACTGATATCATGAGCATCAATTTACGCATATATGACACGATGATATGCACGAACCACGTCAGATAGGCTGGTCTCCCGATCCCGTAAGTCGCCTCTGACGACAAGCAGGGGTGCTAAATGCTATATGAAACCATGACCGACGACTGGTTGGTTGGTTGATGAGATTCGTATTTCATTAACTGAATAGGTTATCCGTATATGGCGCTACCGGTAATATAATAAAGAGCTAGGGCACTTTATTATACAGATACGTTCATGTACGTGGTGATCGTACATTCAATTCAAAGACATGAGGACAATTATTAAACTGATGCTATTTGTACATACATGTTTTCATTTGGCGTTCCAACAAACGACACTCCAGAATCCAAGGGATGTAAATATGTTCCTTTCATGCGTATCGGATTCTGTAAGAATATAAGCATATCAGTTGGAATACTCAGTTCTGTGTTTTGGCTGGTTGTTTCAGGTGTATACAAATGTATACACTGATTGTTTAAATTTAAACTTGAGGAGACCAAAACATAAAACGTTGTTGAAATATGATGCTGCCAAACCAAGAATAACAAACAAGGATTCGAACAACCGATCATGCTAATGTGACACTCCTTAGATGATTGTGCCCAGGCTCCGACTAATGGTTAAGAAATACGTTTCCATTTCCATTTGTTTGGGTGATGGGTTAAAATAGGCTTTTGTATAATGTAAACACCAACGGTTAGAGAAAAAAGTATCACATATAGAAAATGACGACCAGGTCTCTGTTTTCCGTGCGACCAAAAGTGTGTGTGGGAGAATGAATTGTTATTTTTTCTGAACATGTCCCCAACATCTATGGGGATAACACGGTCAGACGAGAAGTACATTTCATTAATGAACCATAAATTTCATGGTCTTGGAAAACCAGTATTTGATTCTGGGAACAACGATCAGTAGTGCCAGGCCATCAGTGCCCAAATACCTCACTGAAAGTACACGATTATCATATCAGGCGGCTCATATAATACACCTTAAGTACGTGGGTGATAGATTGCTCCTACATGCGATTAGAAGATCGTCATTTGCAGATCAGGGGCCGTATTTATAAAAATTCTTGGAGTGCTTAAGAATTCTTAACTATAAGAATTTCTAAGAATTATTTAGGTTTCACGATTAAATAAAATGTAAGAAATTTCATGGTCTTAACTGTAAGACATTTCTTCAGTCATATTTATAATACATCTTATTCTTAGTTTTACTCTTAAGTCACCAAAGAGTTAGGAGTCCTCACATAGCACTATCAGACACTTAAGAATTTTTCTTAACCGAACAAAATGGCCGCCAATCAACGCCGACTTAGAGTTTTCCGCTCAAGAGTGAGTGTGTGAGTTATTCTTTAACGTCACATCGACAATATTTCAACCATATCGTGACGATTTCCGCCCAAGAAAGGATGTATATACGACGTTTACTGACGATGAACTAATCACGAGATTTTGTCTAGACAGTGGTGGCATTCGTTTTGTCACAGATCTCATACGGAACGAATTAACCCAACACACTCCCCCCTCCAACGAATAGAAATTTCTCTGTAGACGCCGACATCAAGGTAGCCATACTTTTCGTTACCCTGCTACGGGAAAATTGCAAATGTGCAATGGTCATGACTTCGGTATCAGTCAGCCTAGTATAAACAAAATCATCACTGACACCATAGACGCTATATGCCAGCCTGCTCTGATTAGAAGGTTCATCAAAATGCCCACAAAGACACCAAGGCCAGTTCCACGCTGTCGCTGGCTTTCCTGGTGTTGTTGGAGTTATTGATGGCACCCCCGTTTGTATAAGAGATCAAAGTGAGCACGAAGTTGAATATGTAAATAGAAAAAACTTTCACTCACTCAATGTGCAACTCATATTCGAATCCGAGGACAGTATATGTGATGTCGTCGCAAAATGGCCAGGGGCGACACACGGCGCGCGAATCTTGAATGAAAGTAGTGTGCCAGTACTTTTTGAGAGGGGAATAATGCCTCATGGTTGTCACCTGTTGGGAGACAGTGGCTATCCATGTCGGAGGTGGCTGCTGACACCCTTCATCCACCCGCGAACTGGCCAAAAGGCAAGATACAACAGGTAAACAAACCTAATTTGTTGACACTACAATTACCCTACTTTACTCGAGAGTAGCTTCCCTTGGGTGATAGGAAAATCTGTACCGAGGATAGTTTGAAACGGCACAAACAACTAATTATAGTTATGAAATATTCCTTATACTGTAGAATTAAATATTTTTATACAGTTGATTATGATGATATCATCTGAAATCATTTTGATGAATGCTGCTCATTTGTTACTGAAATTGAATTTATTACTGTGATTCATTGAACAGCATACTGATGACAGTTTAATTTAATAAAATCATGTTGTGAGACAGATCAAAAGATATTATAAAATATATTAAAACTCAATCCATAAAATTTCGATTTTGCATTTCAGAAGTCACAAGGCTACAAGGTATGTGGTGGAGAGAGGAATTGGACAGCTGAAACGGAGATTCCATGTCCTACATGGGGAAATCCGCCTCAGACAAGTCAGAACAAAAAACATGAAATATACCGTCTTCTTGTCGTAAACTGGACAGAACAGAGGAATGAGACGTCGCACTTTCGCGTTTTCGAGCTAAAAATAAACGCGGATTTTCCCTTTGTGACTTTAATCTTTTTGCCGGGGAGAGTTCTGAAAGTCCTTAGTTACGACTCGTAGAATTTATCTGAGAGTTACTCTTGAGACGTAGCTAAAAGTTAGTCTAAGAACGTTTATAGATAACTCTAAAAGCGAACTTTTAACTAAGACCGATTTTAGGAATTCTAAGACCAAAACTAAGAAAATTCTAAGAATCTATATAAATACGGCCCCAGGTCGTGAACTACTCACGCATCAAGCAAGGACAGAAGTTCATGTGAATATTTATAAAAAGTAAACGACTGCGTGAGGTAATATTTAACGTCGAATCAGCAGTATTTTGACCATACAGAAAACTAGAATGAATGAATAGATGCATATAAAAAGAACAAAGCAGTGTTAGAATGAATGAATAGATGCATGTAAAAAGAACAAGAGAGTGTCAAGATGAATGAATGGTGCACATAAAAAGAACAAAAGAGTGTCAGAAGGAAGAATTAATACCTACTGTGTTAATACACTTTCCAGGCGCTGGGGTCCATGTAGGGGGTCCGGGAATGCACCAGACAGTGGTATTGATACCTAGGAAAGCTTTGGTACTGCTGCACACAGTGGTACTGGCAAGCAGGCATGCTCTCCAGTAGATAAAGGATTGATAGGTATTTGGCGGGCCGCATTCTCCTATCAGAACACGACATATCTCAATGAAAGACCTGACTATAATATGAGCATGCGAGACAAATGGAATATATACTGGTTTGAATTAGAAACATTAGTTATTATGTCAACATAATTGGTACAAATCTATGGCCAATGATCATGAATACCATCTGCATACATATTGCTATGAGTCACAGAACGAATATGTTAGGATAAATGAATAACAGTAAATCGAAAGATCGTTATATAGGTTCTTGAAAGGCATTTGGAAGTTGGACGAACATGAATACATGCCACGTATCCTTTATCCAGACGTTTCAGGGCTAATTCTTGTTCCTTCATCGGGTGAATGACGAAGCAGCATTCATTCACTTGATGTAGGAGCAAGAATAAAAGAAGTTGTTATCTATAAAACGTGTCACGCATTTTCTGAATTAATAACTGGACTAAAATCGTGTTGACAGCGTGTCGTACAGATGTAATGCTGCTGAATGTGGCATCAAACAAACACATACCCATGATATAGTCAGAACTGTACAGGCGACTCTACTTTTAACAGAGATTTCTTATAGATGTGGGAGGGTTTTGTTTTCCACTTACTGAGATCGGTTCCATTGTTTTCATAAACAGAACTGTTGGATAATGTTTTCATGTTCACTTTTCTTATTGTTTAGATTGTATACTATCTATTAATGAGTTGGTAATTACTTCGGTAGTTAAACAGAAAAGTCGAATCGAAAGAAACTTAAAAAAGAAAGGTATTCACATTTTCGAGTACATCATTGTGCTTTCATCTATTATGTGTACTTTCAGATATATTGTGATTAAACATACTCATTTAATTGAAATGATAATGTAAATGTCTCCATAACATTTTCCGCACACTGTATCGTATCCTCTCGATACCAGAGTTTCTTAAGAACTTGTCCGAACTAACCTTCCATTATGTAGTATTTGTCTCCACTTGCCCTCATCCCCGTGGTGGTCTGTGTCTGGTAGGCTGCGTACAGGTTACACTGGCCACTACTGGAGACAAACCTCGCCCCGACACATCGGGTGTGTAGAAGGCACATGTTGACGCAATGGAGAGGTTTCGATGTGTGTTGTACAAGAAGGACGTCCGAGAAATTGTAACTTGAATCAGCCTGCTTGAAATGTGCTTCATTGTATGGACGTTCACAGTCTTGACAGCACACATAGACTAGACACTCAAACATTATTACCTTTGAGATTTGGACCATGCTTTTAATCGGATGTCCTTTCATAACTTTAGTGTAGATGTGTGTATAGATCCTTAACCGTATACAGCAAACTTGGTCCAACTGAGCGCAAGGCTTGTTCTGGCAGACTGAAGAAACTGATGACAAGATTCCGTGTAGCAACGACAGATGATCAATATATAACGCATTTCTTGGATACATTGTCATACAGTTTCTGCATCAATTCATCCCAACAAGTAATGATTACGCAATGCCAATTAGAAATCTTAATGTTTAATGTGTATGCCAAGGAGCTTTGTCCACTACTCAAAAGAGATTAAGGTTCACCCGGTTCTTTCCATTACTGAAGTTACTTAACAGATTAGAGAAAGGAAAGAATCGGTTTCTGATGTGTAATTGTTCCTTGAATACTGTTTTTCACGGCAAAAGAAAAATGTTTACCATAAACGCAGCATGCGTGACGTCAGACATCACTAAATATTAGCTCAATGGTTTTCATTACCCGTGCAGAGATAGGTCGTGAAGTTAGAATTGCATTCTTTGCATGTTGTTCTTGCTCTTACGATGCTAAACGTCTGCATTGTTACCGTTCATGTTACCGTTCCTTACCATTCATATAATGGGGAAGATTATAATGAAATATTTTCTATTCAAGAGCTCCATACTGCTCTTGAACAAGCTTACGATACTGCTACAGGGGCTGATAACATACATTATCAACTCCTGAAGCACTTATCAGAATCCTGTCTAGAAACTCTTTTAAATATTTTTGATGATATTTGGACATCTGGTAAATTTCCTCCCTCATGGCGTGACGCTACAGTAGTACCAATACCTAAACCTGGACGTGATCATACGGATCCGTCAAATTATCGACCTATTTCACTAACTAGCTGTGTTTGCAAAACCATGGAACGAATGATAAATATCGACTTGTTTGGTACTTGGAAACAAATAACCTTATAACAGATATACAATGTGGTTTCCTTAAAAACAGAAGTACTGTCGATCACTTAGTGCGTTTGGAATCATTTGTTGAAAACGATCTAATTAATAAACAACACGCTGTGTCTATCTTTTTTATCTTGAAAAGGCATATGACACAAAGTGGAAATATGGCATTTTAAGAGATTTACATGGCTTCGGATTGAGAGGCCGTTTGCCTCAATTTATAGCCAACTTTTTAAATGACAGACAATTTCAAGTCCAAGTGGGTTCTACCCTGTCTGATCATTACAATCAAGATCAGGGTGTCCCACAAGGCAGTATTTTGTCTGTCACACTATTTAGTATAAAGATAAATAGTTTATCAAATGTTTTAAACGATTCAATCGATGGATCGTTATTTGTGGATGATCTTAATATTTCTCTTGTCGTGGTAACACTATGCAGTTGTGTTTAAACAAGATAAATAGATGGTGTCTTGGAAATGGCTTTAAATTTTCTAAATCGAAAACTAATTGCATACATTTCTGCCGTAAATACATCCCTTGTGATTAAAGAATCACGGTCAAGCATGTCTTGCTTGACTGTGTTGAATATTCCATCACAAGGGATAACTATTTCAAATCACGAACTATGAAGGATCTTTTTAATAATATAAGTTCTCATTTAATTATTGCATTTTTAAAAGAATTAGATTTGTTAAATGATTTGTAAATAGATGCATATTCTATTATTAGTAGTTTAGATTAGTAACTGAGATTGTTAGTGGCTGCACCCTCAAAGGGGCTTGAAGTAGCGTAAAAGTATTATCTTCCTGAGAGGGTACGTAAGTCCCGAAACATTCAAAGGAAATTTAAATTTACCAGCTGTTTTAAATGTAGTATTTTTGTCATTATAATTTTGGCTAAATTTGACTTCAATCGCCAGCGGCTGAAGGGATGATATAAATCCAGCTAGGGTCCATGCAGGTAGCAAAAGTACTGTAAGTCCCCATGGTCCCTAGTATGGTGATCTACCTTCACTTGTTGGCGATCTATAGCCAGTTTTTATATTGTATTGTACAGGTAGTGCTATTAGTTTGAACTTTCCACACTAGTTTTAGTTGTAAGTGTGATGTTATAGTTGTTTTACTGTCCTTTGAAGACAGGTTTTAATAATATACACATATTACATTTCTATGTCAAATATGTTCTGGTCACGATATGGCTGAAATATTGCAGATGTGACGTTAAATATTAACTCACTCACTCACTCTTCTTGTTTTTCAGCAGGATAACGCGAGAGCGCACACAGCAAGACTGACACAGACATTCCTCAAGAGCAACAACATCCAGACCATGGATTGGCCAGGTTTAAGCCCGGATTTGAATCCCATCGAACACCTCTGAGATGAGATGGAAAGACAAATTCACCAATAGCGAGTGCGTCCAGTTAACTTGCAACAACTGAAAACGGAGTGCTGTTGACGCTTACAACAACATTCACAGGAGGTTCATTCGACGTCTCTTCAACAGCATGGGGAGGAGATGTGCAGCTGTTGCTGATGCCAATGGAGGTCACACCTGTTATTGACGTTAACGTTTGTTTCCCTATAAAGGACGATTCCTAAAGGCATGCGTTTTGTGGTTTCCATATTGATTTATTGGATTTCCATGTCATGTGGAGAATAAAGACACTAAGTGCTTTCTTTCGAGTTATCGTTGTCTTTTGTGAAAGTAAACTTAATAGAAAAACGCTTTGTTTTCACTCGTCAGTATAATCATTCCACACAATTTGCGTTTCTTTTGGCGGTAAGTATATAAATGTTTAAGTTCTTTAGTATACAAAATTAATAGCTATGACCTTCATACACTATCAAGAACGAAAATATGGCTCAGAATGATACTCAAACCGCCTCTATGGATGTGTTATTACTCTGTCTTACTCTGAATTATGGATCTGTTTGAAGTTACACAAGGACATTTGACACGTCCTGTACAGGTTCTTGATAAACGATCTCGTTTTCGAATCTTTGAGTGAGTGATTTAACATTTAAAGTCACTGCATAGATTGACAAATGTATACTTTACTGATTGTTTACGCAATATCAACTGTAAATAACTTTACAAAATATATTTTTGTACGCCCATTGATAGCTCTGTCTATGCAAAGGAAAAGAGTTCTGTGGAGAACATAAATCACCATTATGGCTCACAAATAATACAAACATGTCCCGTTATAATTGAATTGATAGGACATTAACAGATACCTTGTACCTTGGCAGTTTGCTTCTGTTGACGAGGAATATTGACCTACTTTCAATCAATATATGTATGTATGTGGAAATATATTCTAAATTCTATAAGCTCTGTGCAATTATAAGTATTTTATGCCTTAAAATATGATTAAGAAAATACATCACCTGGAATTTTCATTGCAAATGTTTAAAGTAATTTGTGTCCTTCCCAAAAGGACGTAATCTTGTAAAGTGAATGATGCAGCAACGACTACGAATGTAGTTTTATCTATCTATGGTGGATATAGGTTGGTGAGTACTACAAACAGTATGGAAAGAAGTATTTGCGGTTCTCCAAATTGTAAGAACAGACGCAATTACGCCTTAGCTTAGCCTAGAGGTTCGAGTTCGCACGGGTTTCATTTACCCATATTTAGCAACCAATGACGATCCGGGTTAGAATTGGTCTTCAGCAACCCACGTTCGTCGTAAGAGGCATCTGGTGGCCAGACTCGATGACTTGGCTGACAAATGTCTTCTTATCCCATTTGCGTAGATTGATGCTTATTACGTTGATCAGTGGATTGTCTGGTCCAGATTCGCTTATTTACGGACCGCCTACATGTAGGTACTAGATCCCGCCTTTAATGTCACTCCCTTGCCAGTGGTCCGATATTCATGGATGACAATCCTAGTCCTCACCGTTCATTTGCAGAACAACTTCCCATGGAATGCAAGGAACGCTGATATGAACCCCATCGAACATCCAAAGGACTATCGTGAATGCCAAATCTGAGCAAGCGAACCTCGTATTTGTGGGAATTGACGCAGACACTCCATTCAAGAACATTGTAACAAAATTTCAATGTTAACTTTGTGTTTAATCGGATCCACGTAAATTACAGTTACCATTTGAATTGGTTTAATTTGGTTTTCAAAGCATATGGAACTGCATGTAGTGTTTTCGTACTTATAGGAAAGAGTGGGTGGTGCTTTATTAATGCTAATGTGTGCATATAACAGTTGCAGCTTGCAGTTGCCAGACCTGGCTGCCTGACTCCGATTGTAACCCAGTGCTCAAAGGTCAGTGAAAGATTTACGGCTTGCCAAGCAGATGTTTCATGAAAAGAACACTTACAGATTTTGCCCGTTAGCAATGTTCCTGTTACTTCGTGTCAACAAGCATCAAATGTGTTCATTCATAAAAAAACTGGATATTTTGTGATTCTATTTCAAGTGGAGATTCATATAGGCCACCATACCACCCATTTGGCAAGAGTATGAACAAATACTTTTTGCGATATTATATTACTGATATAATGTGTGTAACTTTCTGAACCATCGGTGGTAGTCAAATGAACATTATGTGGTGACATAATTTATAATGCAGTGGATATTTCAAAGTCCTCTGGTTTCAGTTTGCCTAGAAACGTCAGAATGCCTGATGCATTGTTTCCTGTCATGTCTGAAGATACTGGACCAATGACGATAAAACTGCATATACCTGTTGCCAATAATATAGACATCAGAATTTTCGTCAACCGTTTTTAATAATGGTACCCTTGTCATCTCGCCTAGAAAACCAGTTGAAGGACATTGCTCAACATACTTTCAAAATGTAATGAAATATGGTTTATTAATCGTTGGAGGTGGTCACAGTACACCTTGAAACATATATAATCATATCAAAAGGCGCTATACTATAGAGATAAAGCTCTTATTAAACATGCTATTCCATCTACTGGTGGCATATTTTCTTTCAAATCATGATTCAACCTATTTGATTAACTATATAATAAAGATAATGAACTGTTAACGGTACCCCAGTTAATGCCATTAAAAACCATTAATACTGTTCAATCACAAATGTCCCATTTAAGCCTGTGACAAGCTATTTGCATACAAGCTCCAAAACAGTAATCAAAGAAAATTCTATTTTTTTCAGCCG